TTTTTTTGTCGGTATGTCATCTGTCTGTCAACCATTGAATCTATGAATATCTGAGCGTATTTTTCCATTTCTGTTTGAGTGATACCATACGTGTGGTCTCTGACAGACAATTTGATTACTATTTAGACACTTTCAAACGATATATGTTTGAATTTACTTTAAAAATATTTATGAAATCAAATATAAGACATTTCCAGTGATAACAGAAATATGTCATCAATTTTTTCTTTATTTTGACACTCTTTAGCTATATTTTTTGCCATCAATTAATTATAAACAAAGTGTTTGTTTATTTAAAAATATTAAGTGTTTTTTTGGTATAAACTTTAACATACTTTCTTAACATTTGATTAATGTATTGTAAATCTGCTGAACAGCTGCCGTCGCGTCGGTATTCGCGGGTCTATGTTATGCTGAATTCGGAGCCCGAGTGCCAAAAGCCGGTTCCGCTTATGTATATTCCTATGTGACAGTCGGTACGATATAATCCTCAATATGTTATCATTTTAGTCAAACTATTTATAACTCATATAAAAACTTAATTTTAATTAAAAGGAGAATTAATGGCATTTATTATCGGATGGAATCTCGTCTTGGAATACGTTATCGGTATTTGACTATCGATTATCTCATATGATAAGTGATTTTAATGAGCGATTATCTGATTGTTTAGGCACAGCATCGGTGGCCAGGGGTTATAGTCTTTATATCGATTCGCTGGTCAACGGCACTATTCAGCACCACTTCAGGGAATGGATGCCAATGGATGTGACGGGACTATCGGCTTATCCTGATTTCCTGGCATTTGGAATAACCCTCTTATTGAAAGTCTTTATATCGATTCGCTGGTCAACGGCACTATTCAGCACCACTTCAGGGAATGGATGCCAATGGATGTGACGGGACTATCGGCTTATCCTGATTTCCTGGCATTTGGAATAACCCTCTTATTGACAGGTAATGACATTCAAACGAGAATTTATTTGTATAATTAAGTGAAAATTTATTATTTAGTTATGCTGTCAATCGGAGTGAAAGAGTCGACACGTTTTAACTCAATCTTCACGGCATTGAATCTATTGGTTGTGCTGTTTATCGTAATCGCCGGCTCTTTCAAAGCAAACATCGATAACTGGACTATTCCTGCGAAAGACGTACCCGTGGGGTGTGTTTGGATTGCCTTTAATTAAAACTGTTTCCAATTTTAATTAAACTCTTTTTGCTAATAATGAGCATATATTTTGTCAATTGCAGTCATGGCTCCGGGGGTTTTATGCCGTATGGCTTCTCTGGGATGATGGCCGGCGCCGCCACCTGTTTCTACGGTATATTAAATATTCATTACATTCAATGCAAACATTTTTACCATAATCTCATTCTGTGTCGACTTTTATAGGATTTATTGGTTTCGATGTAATCGCCACCACTGGAGAGGAGGCGCGTAATCCCCAGCGCTCTATCCCTATCGGAATAGTACTGTCGCTGTTGTTTGTATTCCTGGCCTATTTCGGTGTGTCTGCGATTCAGACCCTAATGATGCCCTACTTCTTGCAAACCGAAGAGTTGACGAGTGGTGCGCCCCTACCCTACGTGTTCGAGCACGCGGGTTGGCCGGTGGCCAAGTGGATCATCTCTATCGGCGCGCTCACTGGTCTCTCAACTAGTCTTCTCGGAGCGATGTTTCCGTTGCCTCGAGTGCTGTATTCGATGGCCAGCGATGGCGTTATCTTCCGATTCTTGGCCACTGTTCACCCGAAATTCAAGACACCGCTGTTGGCCACCGGTATCTCCGGTGTGTTTGCCGGCGGTATGGCCGCCATGTTTGACGTGAAAGAATTGGCTGATATGATGTCCATTGGTATATATTTTTTATGCAGTTTTTAAAAAATCATTGATAAAATGGTTTTCATTCATTTGTAATACAATTACAGGTACTTTATTGGCGTATACTTTAGTCGCTATTTCTGTCCTCATCTTAAGGTAAAAATTGTGTTTTAATGTTTGATTAATGACAGTAAATGTTGGTCTATATGTTAGCCAATAAAGCCATTATAAATATATACATAAATGTATTGATTGTTAAATATAAATGTTGTATTTTGTTTGCTTTTTTCGGGTCTATATATGTTGTGTCCGCAGATATAGCATTACTGCCAACAAAATCGGTTTGTCTGAGACCGACGGTGACGCCCATGAAGTGACTCCACTTAAAGATAGTGTCGATAATGAGTGAGTTGTTTGCGCTCTTCTCCATCTCTTGCTCTTAATCCGTTTGCTTTTACTTTTGTTGTTATTTTTTGTCTCAATTACCGATTCATTTGTTTTCGCCGAACAAACTTTATTTTGTTTTTATTGTTTCCTATTTCTCATTATATTTTATTTTGTTTAACTGTTCACCCGAAATTCAAGACACCGCTGTTGGCCACCGGTATCTCCGGTGTGTTTGCCGGCGGTATGGCCGCCATGTTTGACGTGAAAGAATTGGCTGATATGATGTCCATTGGTATATATTTTTATGCAGTTTTTAAAAAAAATCATTAAGTTAATAAAATGGTTTTCATTCATTTGTAATGCAATTACAGGTACTTTATTGGCGTATACTTTAGTCGCTATTTCTGTCCTCATCTTAAGGTAAAAATTGTGTTTTAATGTTTGATTAATGACAGTAAATGTTGGCCTATATGTTAGCCAATAAAGCCATTATAAATATATACATAAATGTATTGATTGTTAAATATAAATGTTGTATTTTGTTCGCTTTTTTCGGGGCTATATATGTTGTGTCCGCAGATATGGCTACACTGCCAGCAAAATCGGTTTGTCTGACACCGACGGTGACGCCCACGAAGTGACTCCACTTAAAGATAGTGTCGATAATGAGTGAGTTGTTTGCGCTCTTCTCCGTCTCTTAATCCGTTTGCTTTTACTTTTGTTGTTATTTTTTGTCTCAATTACCGATTCATTTGTTTTCGCCGAACAAACTTTATTTTGTTTTTATTGTTTCCTATTTCTCATTATATTTTATTTTGTTTGCATTCGTTTTAATAAGTAATTGAATCCNCTCTTAATCCGTTTGCTTTTACTTTTGTTGTTATTTTTTGTCTCAATTACCGATTCATTTGTTTTCGCCGAACAAACTTTATTTTGTTTTTATTGTTTCCTATTTCTCATTATATTTTATTTTGTTTGCATTCGTTTTAATAAGTAATTGAATCCATTGTTTTAGATATACATGTAAAGGCGATGAATTGCATGCCTATCCCTCCTCTCCTGCTTCTGATAACTCAATGAACACCAATCACTTTGTCGGCAGTTCCAGCGATTCCAACGATAATCGAGTTTACAGTTATAGAGATGTTTTGCGCCAATGTTTTAAT